TACGGATCCAGAACTGAATTCTTTAAAACAAAATGGCCGCCAGTCGGCTATTTCGAACTTGATCCGAAAAAAAAATGACGTGCATCAAGGTCCTATTATGTTTAATGTATGTACCAAATTTGAACGAAATCCGTCCATGCATAACTGAGATCCGGGTCCGGAATGGTGAAAATGTGCGATTTCAATGCATTTTCGGCCTTAAAGCGGCCGCCATTTGGCTATCGTTAATGAGATCATGAAACAAATGCACATACATATTTGTGACATGATGTACCTTGTGTGTGTGTGAAGTTTGAACTCGATCAATCCAAGCATGTCTCAGATACGGATCCAGAACTGAATTCTTTAAAACAAAATGGCCGCCAGTCGGCCATTTCGAACCCGATCCAAAAAAAAAATGACGTGCATCAAGGTCCTATTATGTTTAATGTATGTACCAAATTTGAACAAAATCCGTCCATGCATAACTGAGATCCGGGTCCGGAATGGTGAAAATGTGCGATTTTGATGCATTTTCGGCCTTAAAATGGCCGCTATTCGGCTATCGTTAATCGGATCATGAAAAAAATGCATGTGCATATGTCCCATACAATGTGTGATGTATGAGTGAAGTTTGAACTTAATCGGTCCATGCATGTTCGAGATACAGGTGATCATGGACGCACGAATGGACGCACACAGGGCAAAACATAAGTCCCCGTTTTCGGACTGCGTCCGAACGGGGACTAATAAATACAAAGATCTATCATGTCCACTTCACTTTTTCTGAAGTATGGTATATCAAAAAAGTATCCTTCTCCTTTGAACAGACACATGCCACATACATGTATCAGCTAATTATGCAAGTTAGATAATTAAATATGCAGATTATTTTTGGTCTATTTAACAGAGATTCAACTTTATACATTTCAGCTAAATATACAAGTTAGATAAGCAGTTGTCTTTTACCAAGTTTCAATTTAATTACTTTTGATGAAAATAGTTAATTAGCTAGACTAGATGCCATCTATGACCGTTAAAAATCTATGAATAATAGACCAATAAATTGGTCTGAAGTGTTGTGGATGCAGTTACCAACAGGTCAGTTTTCGCATGTGTATTGCCATGGTAATGTAATGAATTCAGTAGTGACATGAAATTCTGTGTAGACTACAAAGTTACATAGCAATTCACCAGGCCATTATTGGTTGTACTCAGAATGGCTGGATTCCAGGCGATTAATCAGTATGCAAATTAGCTAATAATAGTGCACAGAATAATTCTACACTAATATAAACTATTTAAATTACAAAATATGATATGCCTACATTTGTATACAAGAAACATTTTAAAAATCAATTATTATACAATTTACCTAATTAATATGCAAGGAAACTAACTGGTTGAAGGTGGTACACGTACCTGCCATTTTATGTTGATTACATGACTTACTGGTCATGACTGTCGATATATTTGAAGATAGGCTGTTTCAGGTGAGCAATTAATCCAATTTAATAGCACGGGTATTCTGATTTTGTTTAATTGTGGACACATCAATAACACTCACTCATAATTTGTCTGATATGTATAACTTACCACTGAGTGTCTTCATAATATAAATATTCATCAGCATCAAAGAAATCTTCCTCATCATCACTACTGGAATAGGACACTGCAGGCACTGATGAATGTTTATTTGGTGACATAGGGGGACTGGAATAAGAGACTGCAGGCACTGACGAAAGTTTAATTGGTGACATAGGAGGACTGGTTTGATGACTTTGAGAGACAGGATCACTTGCTGCACCTAAAAGAACAATCAAAGTAATAAAAAATATAAGAACTTTGACTAGCATACAAGTACTGGTAGAGGTAATGATTGGCAATAGATTCGGCAAAAATTAATAAAATCCATGTACGTACATGTTTTTTTGTGCATTTCAAAATTGGCATTAAAAAATTGTGATTTGATTTTTCAAAAAAATGTAATATATTTTTACATTTACTTAAAATTTTAACAAGGAACATATGAAAAAGTGTGATGCAAGCACCGGCCAGAAACATGAATTACAAAGTTAGAAAGAATTCCAGGGTGGCGAAGCAGTGACAGTGAACATTGTTTTATGGCTTTAGTATAGAACTAGCCAACTACAACGTCAATAATGGATCAAAACTTGTCACCCAAATTTTCCAACATAAACAACAAGTGGTAACTTCTGATGCAATCAATGTGATTGGTTCAAAATATAGGATAGCCTGTGGGAATACATAATATAATGCAATCATTGGTGTTTTATAAAATATTGTCTGAAAAATTAAAAATCTCTAACAGTCAGTGAAGATGCAATGACATACATTTGTAAAGTGTCAAAAGATTGGATTATTAGCCAGCAGACATCCAGCACAAACCACAACCAAAACATGTAAATGCATTTTCCGTTAGAAAACTCATAACATATTTCATTAGGTCTTTCTTATGACTTGACTGTGCATATATTTAACAAAATCTGACATGAAAAATATTACATTTATAGAAAGTGTGTGTTTTACAAAAGATATGTTATTCAATTCAAGTATGGATAAAACTTTTTTATTTTTTATTGAATTATACAGGTTGTCAAGTTGGAAAAATAGAATTTTTTTTACAATTTTATTTATAAACTGTAAAATGTGTGAAATCAAACTAAAATTTCAACTCCAGACCAAGAGGATGTCTCTGAACTAAATTGAAATGAAGACAAACATAAACAATTTCACACATACACATACTGTTATTGCATAATTTATCCTTGTTAAACACAACATCCATGTTTGCCGCTGATAACACTGCAGTGATTTCAATGTTTTGTTGAAGGAAAGTTAACACAACAATTGCTTGGGCAGGCAGGTCAGCAGGCAGGTTGGCAAACAAATAATATACAATACACAAGTAGACATGCAGTCAAATTATTTGAACATTTCAGGGATGAACAGTCAAAACAAATTCTACTACATGATGATTAAGTACTGTAAAATACAATATTTTCACTTGGAATACATTTTCGCTGAAGGGGTGATTTAATAGTAAAAATTAAATACAGTGAATACCTTCCATTCCTATATTTGACATTGAACTCATCAAAAATTAGTGAAAATAAAAACTCCTTACAAAACACCCAAAAGGTCTTTTCGGTGAAAATTAATTCCAGCTAAAATAAAGTATTTTACAGAAACACAGAATTATTTTCAAACAAATAATTTTGAATGCAGGGAAGGTGGCATCCATGAGTGAGATAATACAATTATAACACGATATAGAATTACATTATTTACGTTGTTTAACAACAAAGTATCAACTTGTCGACAATGAACATACCTGCGTCAATATTATTCTCTAAAGTCGGCATTTCAGAAATAAAACAAAAACGAAAAGGAGGATATTATGTGGAGACGACTTTTATAAGACCCACTCTAAAACCATATTTATGTGTCACGACAGTTCTGCTTACTAGTCCCATACTACTACCAGCATAATGCTGCATGTATGAATATTCATGAATAGCTCATGAATATTCATCATCATATACAATTTGCCAGCATAACACACCAAACGCATAATAGTTGATTCAGTTTGTTGAACAATGTCAATTACTAAACACGGCTAATTAGGGAATAGACCAGAAGCCCATGTGGGTTGCAGTCTTGCATACAGGGCAGCTCAAAGTTATTTTTAGTTGCAAAATATGCATTTGTGTTGTCGAGAGTTTAATTGCACAAATATATCAGTATTCATGAATTACATTTTTTTTATGATAAATTGTTTGTCAATTTCTGAAAGTCTAGTTAGCATACCATTTGCCAATTGTAGTGTGTGAACCAGATGTGGTAATCTGTATGTCTTGGGCTACTACTATCGTAATTTTGAGACCTGCTTCACCAACATTTGAAGTAAAGGAACCAGATTTGGAAAGTAGCTGGTTAGAAACATGACTCTTAAAAGCATGTGTGTATGTATAATAATGTAACCAAAGTGCATAGCCAATCAGGTCATGTAGATTGCTGTATGATTTCCCCTAATGAAACCATGAATTGGAAATGTTTCAGACCAACTGTGGTTATGAGTGAATATACAAGATATGGTACTCTGCAATGAGCATATAACAAATAAGAATCAAAGGGTGGAGAATAGTATAATGGTTGTGAAATCAAAATCAATTGACAGTTATGATGTTCATGTATATTAGAAATCAAATTAACAATATGGCATGCTTCAGTAAGTTTGAAATAATTGTTGAGAATTGACACCAAACCATTTATCACTTGACACAATTAAACACATTGAATATTTTGAATATACTTGACGATCAACTGAAAACTTTCTGACTATGAATTAAAAAACAGGCGTTTATGCATTAAGTTAGGGGCTTACTAGTAGCGACTGGTTATATACTGGAATCTTTCGATAGATTTCGGTTAACACTGAAATCTTTGTCATTTGGAAGCGTGATTGGTAAGAGAATAGAATCAGTATCAGTTTGGATTGGACTAGTTTTGTAATTGTTGTCAGCAGGAATTTGTTAGGTAGCAGCATCAGTTGAGATTCGTTAGAGATGAACATATTAGAAAGACATGGTTAGGGACTGGAATTATCAGCCGAGATTCAATATTGTTGTCACCACAGACCGAGACCCATGTCCAACACGTCATAAAGTGGGAACCATAACAAACGTGATACAGAGCAAGAACCATATCAAACACGACACAGAGTAAGAACCATATTGAACACAACACAGAGCAGAACATTCCAATTCAGAATTTGTACAAAATAATAAATAAATTATATATTATCGAGCAGCTGTGGTGTGTGGAAGAGGCAAATTGTTGTTAAAGCTGACAGTTAGTGTATTAGGTGGAATGGTGTGTATTCACTGAATGGAAATGTACACATAAATGAGCTGTAACAGGTACATTACCTGCACCAACACTCAGCACTGCCACGTTAGGTATAACTTTAGTGTTTATTCCATCACCAATTTTAATATCTTCCACACACTCCACAGCCTCCTCAATGCTGTTCGTTGAGCCAGATAACCCTGATGGTTCTGGTGAATATAAAGACACGATTAGATGCGCCGGATAAGGCTGATTGTTTTGGTCTCTAATCCGTACCAACAAAATTGGTTAAAAAGTGTCTGAAAAGTGGGTAAGGACACTAGAAAAAAACACAAAATGGGTAACAGTCGGCCATTGTGAATCTAATTATAAAAACTGGTTTCAAGTATAAATAAAAATATGGCCTGCACAGCTGCCTAAGAAACTGTTTAAGACGTGTTCCATGTTTTGTCCAGGAAATGACTTTGAATGGCTAGAGAGATGACTGAATTTCCATATATCTGTATATGTAGAAATTAATAGTCAGTGTTTTTAGACTATCTGAACGACTTAATAAAAATGAATTTTAAAAGTTTAATAATTCAATGGCAGTTAGAAATATTTATGTTGAAATTAACATGTTCACACAGGATTACAATTTTAAACTTGCTATATATGCAGCAAGGTACTGTATCCTAGAAATGAAGGTTATCTGCAAACAAGGAGATATTCTCCCATAATGTTGGATAGAGTGCTTTATTTTGATAAATCTCCCAAACAAATTTTCTAGAACAAATGTGGTTGAAATATTATAAGAATTTTTCAATTTTAATACTTTTACTCTTTTTTTCCCTTTATGAATGTAGAGTTTGATGAACCTCAACCTTTGATTGTTAAAAAATGTCTCTGTATCAAGGAATTATGTCTCCTGATGGAGACCTATAATTGTCTCCCAATCCAGTGAATACTCTGGATGTAGGTAAGTAAGGGACGGACATATTTTGAACCATAACAAAATTAAAGAGCTTTAATTAAGTTTAATAATACTGTCAGGATAGTTTTGTATTCGAAACACGTAAGGCAGACAATCCAACATAATTGTTCACCCCAAAAAATACTCAACACTGATTGTACAATACCGGGGTACCGGTAATTATTACAAATTCAATGCCACAGACTAGAAAACTAAACTTATTACCATGAAAAATCAGATCTATCAGAGGTCAACCCAGCATACAAAATATAAAAGAAATTGGGATAGCGATTTTAAAGAAGTTGAAAAGAGCATTTTTTACCAAAACTGACAATCTTCACGTAATAAAAAATTCTGAGAAAGGTACAGTAACTGTATTATTCCCTAGGTATATATACAAAGTATCAAAGCAAGCAAACTTGCCATTTTCAGGAAGAAGTTGAAATTGTAAAATGAACAATAGACAATATGAACAGAGTTCTGTTCTGTAGCTAAAAATTGCATACCACCAGTTTAAAAAGAATCTGAGCCAGATATTTAAAAATCGGTAATTGCATTGTCTTGTAAAAAAAATGCCATCATCAATAATCCAATATTTCTGGAAAATTGTGTCAGTACGACATATTATTACATATGTACTGCAGTTTATTTTGATTCGTCCCTGAAATCAAAATCGGTATTTCCACAACCCATATGCAAACGAGGTCTGAGAGCAAACAAAGTAGTCCCTTCAGGAGTACAGTTTTTCGGAATAAACAATATTTAGAAGTATGATATTTTCCCCTTGGGGTACATGAATATACTTGTCGAGTGAAATGAAATTTGAACAGTAATCATTATCATGGTACTTTTAGGCAGTCACTTATTTTGGCCCAAACTAATTTGCATATCACCCATGCAATAATGTTTTCGGTATTTTCACGGTCGATATGCAAATGAACATGGTATTTTCATTGGCTACCGAACTATTTTTATTTTGTAAACCATTTTCGTCTGCTATTTTTATCCAGTTCAAATCGTTCAACAACATTTTTGGCATGTCAGGTGTACATCACATAGAATACCACGATTGGGAGAACTTAATGTATGTTGACCACCTGGAAACTGAGTTTTATAAACCTTGAAGGCTCTCAGAAGATCCACCAGCAGTGAAATCAGCGATACTATGCAGCCGTAACCATCAGCATCGAGATACAGTTTCTGCTGGCGACGTTGCGCGTTACTCATTCCAATAA